TTTAATAAAAAAAACATGTGATATTTAATTGAAATACCCCATTAACTACCTTCAAGTGAATTTTTTGATATTTTTTCCCGGAAATTCCAGAACATTGAAATGTCAAATGGAAATGTCCAAATTATAAGTTTGACTAATTATAGATACCTATAACATATACATGATATAATTATGTTACATAAAATTTCCATATCGTATTGAATATCGAACATTAATAAATTATCAGATAATAATTATGTATATTTTACCGCATTGAAATATTGAAATATTGAACTATTGTTAGAAATACTTTAGGACGAAACTCACTTTAGTAAATGTTAAATAAAACAATATTAAGCTCCAAGCTTGATAAACGCATGCTTCACTGAATAAAATTATGAATAAGAACGATAAATGATTTGTAATGGAAGCATCGGAAAATAATTTTCTAAATATTATGCTACAACTACAATTATAATACACCTGTCATAAAAAGGTTATTTGTAAAGGCTAAATTTCTCTGTTAGGTACTGAATCGAGAAAACCTGAAGTAAGCCAAATGTTTTTTCCGCGAAACAATCCGTTTTACAATGTTATATTTGCCAACGTGATTGTTGGCTCGGAGCTCAAATATCTTATCAATGTTTCTTTTTTCTAATTTTGTAAATACTCAAAAACGTGTGTTTTATGATCGACTGGTTAATCCATTCATTCGGTGGATGTATATTGTAACACATTTATACTATTTTTGTATTATTGTATTATTGTGCCATACGATGCTTCGATAAGTCAAGAAGGTGTATATAACATACTGTATATTATATTGTATAATATTATACCTAATATAGTATATGATATAATAATATAATAATTCTGTACATTAAGAATTCTGTGATGATTTCAATAAGCGACTGTTTGTAGAAATGTATCAAACAAGTAAAATATAATAATATATATATATATAATGTTCTAATTGCATACTTATATGCGTTTAGGTATACCTATAATATAATTATTATATTATTTATGTGATGATTTATCTATCGATTGGATACAATTTTATTTTGTGTTTTCATTAGTTATAATATTCAAACTAACTCTGATAAGTATGGAAGGTAAAGTTTTTTTTATAAGCATTTAAAGTTAACATTTTGACTAATTCAGATGATACTTGAACAATGAATCATAAATTCTTCTTCCAAGGATTTTAGATCATTTGTTGATATTTAAAAAAATAAATATCTTAGAACTATACAATTTTTATCCACGGGACGTACCTATATGTTTATCTTAATTTTCTGCACGCAATGTAGTTTTCAAAAGAGTTTGATTAATTTTAAGCTCTTTATATCACGAACATGTTCTTACTATTTTACAGTGCCCACCTAAATTATAAGTTGTATGCTATGTTTTAAGAAAAACTTATTTAAAACCATCGAGTTAAGAAAATATTAAATGTTATGTATTAAAATATATAATAATTAATAACATATAAATATAATTAGAAATGTTCACTCTTGCACTCGTCTCCTTCCGTTAGGATCGGTTTATCGTTTGGTCATAAGATATATTTTATCACATAATTTCAGTGAACCTTCTCAAAACCTACTCTATAATACAGCACACCTAATTCCCTGGTTTTATTTTTTCAACCAAGAGTTGCGAATTGAGAATTTTCGACTGTAGCCTTTTTCGATGCGTTTGACCTCATGGCCGGGTAAGCCACATACCCGGTCGACGCACGTTCCTCACCCCATGTAGCGCACACATTGTTTTTTTTCTTTTCGTCCTGTCTCTCTCTTTCCCTCTGTTACTCGCCCTTCGAACCCGTGTGTGAAACCTCATCGGTATTTTACGACCCGGTGAAAAAGGTTTAAAATAAAATACCGTTACGGAGCGAAAACTCGTTTCGGGTTAAGCCGTAGATTTTCCATTTACCTCTATCGGCGGAGATAATTGTTTTTCCCAAGCCCGATCGTTTGCGCGCACCCGAGTCTGAAATTTATGGACTCGCGAAGTGCGGCAGCGGCGGCGTCGAAAGCCCAACAAAAGTAGAAGAAATATATTATTATGTATATCTATACACTCGGCTGTACCGAACTTTGACCGAACAGGTGTGATAGTGCGCCTCGAGCTCGAAGGTGCTCTATGCTGCCATCGTCGCTTCGACAAGATTCGCATTTATCATCGGTCAAACAGTGTGTTTGTGTGTGTGAGGGTTTACAGGGCGCGTGTTTTTATTCCATCTTCACAACGTTTCCATCACTCGTGTTAACGCCGTCAGTCCATCTTTACCCTCGTTCGTTTTCAGACAGGTATTTATTTTTTTCCCCTCTCTATTCTCCCAGTATTTGGAGCTACCAGACGTCAGCACAAATAGTACAGCCGTGGGTAGGTCGATGCGTGTCTTTCCGAACTAATAATATACAACGGACGATACATTCCTTTGTAGTCCGTACAATATATTAAGTGATCTATGAAACCTACTAAATTTCTCAGTACGAGTAAATCAAACGAAAAAAAGATATTATGAAAAAAACCAATTCTGATATTATATTGTCGACATATTATAGCATGTTATATAAAGGCACTAAATTACGTTTTCAAAATTGTGTTTTTACCGTTTGACATTATTTACCATAAAATTACGATTTCTATAGTATTTCAGTAATAATGAAGAAAGCTTACATAACATAGGCTTGCAGCTAGTGTTATTGTTTAAATGTTATGAGGCGAATATAAAAAGTGCCATATTTTATTGTAAAGTCTGTGGTATATAGGTGCAGTAGGTGAAATACCGTAACACTACTCACGGTTCGGATACGACGTACATAACACAGAAATATTCATCCCGTCGGTGTACCCATACATATAGCTCATTCCTACCCATGTATGCACGCCACTCTCCCGCCGATCGGGGGCAGCTGTGGCGTCGATCGTTTTCAACTTCCTCTTCTTGCGCTAACGCCACACCGCTCGTAAAAAAAAAAAAACAAAACAATAATAAAAAAAAAGCACAACAACAACGGTGGCGCCCCGAAAACGAGCCGAAATATCCTAGCAGGCAGTGGTGTGTGTGCGCGCTCGCCACTGCGGGCCGTTCGGATATACAATATTTATAACGTCGGTTGTTTGGAAGTCGAATCAAAAGAACATTTTCCCAACGCATCTCCGGCTGTAAACCAGTACACTACACGCATTATACACATGTACACTCGAACGCTTTCGGAATATGAAAAACTGCCGGGCGATAAAACATTTATGGGTGACGTGGTATTTTTGTTGTTTTTTTTTCTTTTTTTTTTCCGTTAGATTTATTCTCGCGCGTAACTTTGTAAACTACTGTTATCGGTCGGCCATATATTATATACACATCACCGTTGACCACACACACACACACACACACAAGATGCCACCACGTACAATCGTCTTTTAAAAAATAAAACTTATATTCTCCGTCGAATTCGACATGAGAATTTATATCACGTCATGCACGTATACACTGTTCGTTTAAATCTAGTATAGATCGTCGTTAATGTTTAAACACACGGACGCTGTGAGATTTCTCGGGAACTGCAAGCGCTATATCGTCTCATATACGCTCCCGAAATACCAAATAAAGCATAATTTACAGTATGCACTATGCATAATTTAGGTGTATATTACTATGTATTGGATGTTTTGATGTTGTGGCACCGTACTATCTATTATAATCAGATGTAATATAGAGTACCTACGCGTCGTATATAGTACCGTTGTCGACAATAGTCTTATTTGAGAAAACATAATATAACTATACAATCTTCCATGCAATATATAGGTATATAGGTTCATAATATACCATAGCATACCATCGTCATAAGCCACCATTAATTTGTGTTTGTCAGTGTTATCTCAAAATGTTAATCATTAAACTATTTTTAACGGGAAAACGGCCGAAGGCTATGCAGTAATATACAGTCATAAACATTAATAATATGAAAAAAGATGTTTGAACGGGACATCCGATACCCGTCCAAAAATAATTGTATCATCTGCAGTCACTAAATTGAATATTATAAAAAAAAATAAACAAATTTAAAATGCGCCATTTTACTGAAATCAATCATTTTTACGGTTACAATTAAATATGTTGGACATTTTGAAAAGGAAACAAATATTATTATTATACTGCGTGGATAAGCTATATGATATTTCTTGAACAAAAACAAAATGGTATTCTTTCAACTGATTCAGTAGCATTTAAGATCGTGATAAAAATGAGTCTGTGATTTACATACGATAAAACTCAGTATTAAAAAAGTTTTGATCTCACTCTCTTAACTTTGATTTCAAAAGAATAAATGGCCCAGAAAGTTGTCTGTTACCAAACATTGAACGCCACGATCGGATTAAAACGGGAATCCCAAGTAGTTGTCGATGTTATATAGAATCGCCGTCTGGCATAATATTATGCAAATATTAAAATTAAATTATAAATTGAAATTTTCGTGTTTCTTTTTTATTTTAAAAACGTATTATACATTGTATTATACAATATGTTTAAGTAAATATACGTGTATAAATAAATGCATCTCGGTCATCGAATTGTATAGTGTGGAAAATTCATATTGTTCATACATTCTGATAAAAAATTTTAACACCTAACCAAATAAACCTAACCAAATATCAGTCATAATATGCCGGTGGTATCCACGTTAAACCGGGTTCACTTTTTATGATAAAACATACATTATCGGAAATCTCGAAGATAAGTTTTATCGTTTAAATAATCTTGAATAATCAAAATGGCAGCCTACTAGGGTGGTACGGTTCCGAATGCTCGTTCCATATTATACAGTTCAGTGGTCCCGGTCGATGTCATACGTTTCGTATTTGGATCAAAATAAACATTCGATGATGATAAACGATGGACGTGTTCAGTCACTATGGGCTCGGGGTTGAATTTACACGGCACAAGTACTTACTAATTAATTATGATGTTATTAACGGTCTGCGTGTTGCAAATTTTATGTTTACAGTGCCCCCGGACCGGCTGAGCGTGCTGAACGAAAAAGGCGATCACATACCGCATTACATACTCGGGCCTTACAAGGAAGGTGTGACGGTCGATATCACGTGCATCGCAAGCGGAGGTAATTAATTATAATATTTATAATCGATAATATTATGCACACACGGTCGACGGTCGTACGAAACAATAAAATAATAATTACCCGATTAACTGGCACACACAACATACTTGTTTATGTTCGTCCGACACTGCTGCTGGACGGCAAAACGAGTGTTGAAGAAATCTTGAGAACAATAAAAATAACACCTCTCCCGTGATTGGAATTTTCGTGCAAATTCAATAATACTAACTAATATTTATAATCGAAAATAAGGCATAATATTAAGTTTATACTTTTAACTAAGTTACGTGACGAGTTACTTATTTTTTTAAAAGTCACTTCTAACTGAACGAGTTATATTTTTTCCATGTTACGAAGCAACTTATGAGTTAATTCATTTTATTATCACGGTTAGTTATATTTTTCTAAAATCACAGATTTAAATATATACTATTTTGTAAAAATTAATTTACAAAAAAAAAATTATAGTCAGAACCATAAAATATTATTGATAAATAAAATAATTTATAATATTATTGCATATTATCAGAATATATTATATATATAATTATAAACAGAAAATTGATAAGGGTAACCTAATCATTGGGAAAAAAAAACTATTTACTCTGTATCCCATACTCATTAGTCATTTGTATACCTTTAATCTATATTATAATTGATAACAATAACACATTATTATATTTTTATTGATTGATAGAATTACAATCGAACTGAATAATATTTGATATTAATTTAATAAATTGTATTCTAATACTTAATTTGGTAATTAAAATTTAGTATAGTTGTAGAAAATTAGGTAAACAAATACATACAAATAATTGTTTCATCATTGATTAATGTATTAAAGTATAGAGTACTTACAGCAATTAATTGTAATACATACATTTATTTAAAACTTTAAGTCGTAAGACCTTTGTTAAATTTAACAGTAACAAAAACCTATGTTATTTCATATTCTTAAAGAAGGTATAATTTTTAATTGTACTTGCATGAAAAAAAGTAACCGATCATTAACGAAGTTAAGTTATTTTTATTTTCTAGTTAACTTGTAACTTTTACAAGTTTAAAAATAAAGAAAAGTAACATTAAACCTAACTTAGATTTTTCTATATTTACCCAACTTAAAGAGTTAAAGAAAAAAAAACTGCTTACTTACCCAACCTTGTCATGGTTGTACGAAAGAATAAAATAATTAAGAGATGAACTACGAATACTTTCGTCAGACAAAATAGACTGCTAGACTGAGTGTGAGAGAAATCTTTCGGACGATAAAAATATTGTCTCTCCCGTTATAGAAGCTTACGAGAGAGCGAGTTCAATGATAATAATAACAATAATTATGATCGTTTCAAATCAATAATAATATTAGGCCTATGCGTTTCTGTTACGGTTGTGTGACAAAAACATGGTACGATAAAATGTGTAGCCTAATATGTTTACCTATATTGGTCGGGGCTTCGTCCCATCGGTAGTGGTTGTATTTTTTAACGGCCGAGGGGGCTAAAAATATTAATTATTGTATTCACAAGGGCTCAAGGGGAGACACTAATCCCCCACCCTCATCGTAAAAAAATGTACCTATACGCACATCGAAAAAATATATATTTTTAAAAACCTAAGCCCCAGGGAACACCTTTCCTCTCATAACCGTCACTGTGCTTTTACAATAGTGCACGACTTTTTATAAAACATATATATTAAAATAAATAATATTTAAAAAAAAAAAAAAAAACGTAATCATCTCATAAATGCGTAGGTAGATACAGAAGTATAGAACTGCATAAAAATTATTTCATATAATATTTTAACAAATTTCTTAATTTGATGTTAACTGTGTGCTTTAAATAATATGCTTTAATAATACTTCTATAGTGTCGCTATTATAATACTATTGTTTTTATTTTAATATCTCTTATTTTTGGTCATCAAAGGTCAATATATTTACGGTCGGAAGATAAAGCAGTCCTCACATAATTATTATATTACCTATACCCGCGAGGATCACGGTGACACCTAATTCCATATTTGATATCATTATTTGGTTTTTCTAACGCATTATCGACAATTTATTTGTTTACGTTGTTTTACTTAGTTGAACATCGTAGTACACTCGTGAAAGTGTACAAATCAGAACAATTATTTCAGCCATTACGTGACTGTTTGTGGTGAATGCGTTTACTAGGCGTGATCACAAAACTGGGGGGTTAAGATCCTTTTAGAATTTTTTTTTTTAATAACATTTAATTTCATATACACATAACGCACGTCCTTTCATTGTGCTGGCCTATGAATGTATACAATTTAATATTATTGTTTATTAACCTCCCTCTCATCCCCCAAAGTGACAAATATTTTATTTAATGTTTTTTTTTCGTACGTGCCCGGCCGTCACAAAGCGGTTGTGTAAGTTCACACCGACGGAATATTATAAAGTGCACACCAGTGAAAACTGGTACGACGGCAATCTCATTAGACTAATCAAATAAATTAAAATTATCATATATATATATATATATTTATACCACTGACGAACACATTGGACGCGTAACGCAATTTAGTCGTAAATTCCGAGCACGTAAGTCGACGTCATCGCCGTCAGGTCCCAAATAATTAAGAGGAGCGCGTTTTTTTAATTATAATAATAATAGTCATAATTATTATTATTAACCGTTCCATGCCGACAAGTGACAAAAAAAATAAGTAAATAAATAAAACGTCAGCCACATCCACGAAACCGTATTTTTCAATAACTTGCGGTGCTGCAATTGGTCGACACAGTTTTGGACATTTAAAGTATTTTATTCCTACGTCATTATGTTATTATATTATTTATTTTTTATCAGCTATCGGGGTGTACTACGATGTTGTATATATAGTCGAGTCGCGATGACTCGAACCTCGATAGGTTGAAAAACTCCAGAACTCAAATCGGTTTTCATGCCTCTGAAATATTTATTAGTTGTTTTTGAGTAACCTATATAAGTCGAAACATTTTTAAGTCAAATGTATTTTTATTCCTTTAAAATACATGTCACGGAGACTCAACTGCATATTATATTCTCATATTATGAGAACGCGAACCTTTCTCATCTCGTTTTTAAATAATACTGTTAATATGTTATACAACAATAAATTAGGTATAATATAATAATTTATCTTACACTGTGCTTGAATTTACTGTTTTTATTATTCTAAAGTCTTGTAATTCGTTTATGTCTTCAGTTATAGTCTGTAAGTCGTTTCAAAAACCAAATTTTTCTATTTTATCACCGTTCTCGTACACATCGAAAATATCGTACTTGCTGTAAATGGCTGCTTAGGAGGTAATGGGTTCAATTAGTTTGATTTTATCAGCTTACTCTGTATTATACAATAATTCAGGCCGCATATTGCTTATACTGCACTCAACAACTGACTTGTGAATACCCACCTTCTTGCGGTCATAGATACAAGCATTAGTTCGTGTTTTTGAAGTTTCAGATCTGTACGGTCAACATTCCTAATTTGCACTAAGTGCTGTTATAGTTTCGACGCTAATATTATTACCCTTATTATTAAAATTATAGACCTATTCTCTGATGGTGACGGAAATTATGATCAACTATTGAATTTACTGGCCGTTTCCATAATATAGTTGTCTAACAAAATACAATCGTCGATATTCATTTATTTTTTTTCATATCTGGCTTTTTCAATCATTGATTTTCAAAGTTCAAACTGTCTTTTCAACTAATCCACTGCTCTTAGTATAATTAGAACTTGATAAAGTTAGACAAACTTAGATTAAAGTCTCAATCAGTTGCAAAATGTTTGAACTGCGTGAACTCCCCATCACCGCAAGAATAATTTTCAAACACTCTGTATTTCTTGGAGTACTACGGAGTCCACTATAGATACTATACTATTGTCATTAGCTCTATAACTGACTAACTCCTTTTGTTTTTCAAACTCAAAACTTATAACCATACAAAATCTAATCCACAACAACAAGATGAATATCAGACGCTTGATTTTTAAATTATCCGCACTGACTTTTCCAAGGTCAAATTATACATGTTCTATAACAATATTGACACTAATTGAACGGATTCGTCTTCGATATATTATTACTAAACTGTCTAAACTTCATATACATAAAGAAACAGCGTCTTAAAATACAAACCGGACGATTTTCTTTTTAACAGTAAACATTGTTTTGGAAATATTGGATATCATTAATTGTTATTAAAAAATAATATAGTTTATTTATAATACAGTTATTAGTACTAAACTATTACCGAAAAATATAGTTATAGTGTGAAAAATGAGTAATTAAAAAATGTTAGAAGTTCATGAATTCTTAAAAAAATAAATAATAAAATGTAATATTAATTTGTTTTTGCATATATCTACTCCATCGTTATAAATCTTCAGTATTTTATAAAGTAAATTATTGTTAAAAAAAAGAATAGTTAATTATAAATTATTTAAATATAATTGAATAGAACATTTACAACCGCAATGAATAACAAATATTATGCGTAAGTAAATATTGTTAATTACATCATTCTCTGCAGTTACTGAAAGCATATTCAGTCGTTACAGATATGCTAATTTTAGAGTATTCATACGTCTTACTCACTTATAATATTATACTTCTTTGATGTATTAAGCTGTACTCATTCGTTAACTACCAGGAAAGGACCTTTAATAGTGAATAGTGATGTACCTACTCGAGTAGAATATTTCCATTGTATATTCTAAAACGTTGTGTAATAATAATTTTACTATTTAAGTGCAAAAAAAGGTAGAAGATCCGGTGTAACCGGAAAATAACTTTTCGAACGTATTGTATCGAAATTGCCTATCCGGTACGCCGTGTTACCATTTATTTTGTAAATCATTCTTATACATCAATACTTGTTCATTTGTATCAATCAATAATTTATGAAAATACAATATTACTTATATAATATATGGACAACTGCTAAAATCTGTTAAATTAATTTAATAGGTAGTTA